TTAATATACCTTTTTATACATACTTTTATATTTACACACATATATAAATAACCTTAACTTCAGGAACGAGAAGCCAGCCATTTGGAGAACAAATGCTTTTCTTCAATTCTTGAGAGAATCCACTTGAGTAATATTAAATTTTAAAATGATCCCTTTCAGTGTCCCTTTTTATATATAAATGGTAGCTAATAAGGTTTTAAAAAATTTTTGTCTAGTAGGAAATACACAATGGTGTTAATCACAGGGGACCACAAAAAGATGCAGGAACTTGTTCTATAGTTCCTGAAGAAATAACCCATCACTGAAACCCAGTGCCAGTTTTCTTAATTTTCATTTTAAGTTAACTGATGCATTTCAACTATACATCACTATAAAAATGAGTCAAATTATAAGTGCAAGGAAAGAACAGATTATTGAACAAAACCTATAGAAGATTTCACATCAAAGTTCTAATGAAAACAATAGAGGGAGACAGAATTAGACTGAGGGAATCTTCAGGTAATTTTTTAAAAGAAAGAACAAGATTTAAATGATAGAAAGTGAGAAAGGTATACTACCAAAGGGACCAAATGGTGTGTGAGAAGCTACAGAATAAATCAAGCACTGTACCAAACATGGAGGAGAGAATGGCTGGGGGAGTGGTTTAAAAAAACCAACAAAAAAATATTTACAGAACTACCTCATACCCAACACTGTTACATATCATGGAGAAACAAAGAGACTATGCAGAGAATTCTATGCTGAATTCTCAATTCTTCATGATATTCACTTACAAATACTGTTTCATTTAATTTTTATTCCTTCATGATGTGAAATTAATTCCTACGAAAGGACTATCAATAGTAGTTCCTAGGAAAAACAACAACAAGAACAAAACACACTAAATAAAGAAAGACGTAATTCAGGAAAGATATAATCCAGTCCAAGAAGAAATAGTCATAAACTCTTGGGCATACTAAAACACAGCACATGAAACACAAACTGTTAGAAGAAGAAAATCAAATATAAAATTTTACTAGTCAATCCAGGCAAAATTTCTCTTCCAAATGTATTATGTAACATTAACAGCAAATGCTTTCAGCAATTCTCTTGCCTATCTTTACCACTCTACCCTGCTCCTCTGTATCTTGCCTGCACTATGGCTATAGCTTCCTAATTGGGCTCCCTACCTCCCTTCCTGTTCAACTATAACCTATTCCAACAGCAGCTGACGTAATCCTTTGAACAGATCTTTTCACTCCCCTTAATCAGGGTATGTTTAATCAACATACAAATGGTGTCCTATTGCAAATGGAATAACTACTAATGTCTTTAACACAGCTCTGACAAAGATTCTATACAGGCCAGTTCACAGCTACATCTAACTTCTCAAGAGGGTTGTCTTTTTGCTCCTTGAGCAGAAAAACTCTTCCCACTTCAGGAATATGCACTTACTGTTCCTATCGTCTCAGAATATTTCATGACTTGCTCTTTTTCATCATTTCCAGTTCACTCTCATCATGTATTCAGAAAGGCAGCCCTGCGTGTCTTATGTAATGCTGCACATATCCTGACATCTTACTCAATATTACATTTCTTTTTCTTCTCTTGCTCTGAAATAATTTACTTGTTCTGTTCATTTTTCATTAAGGCTGGAGTGTAAAAGCTTGGTGAAACTTTTTCACTATTGTATTCCTAATCATACTTAAACACTACATTTTTAGAGAAGCTGACATGTACAAAAAACAAAAGAGTTCAGATTCCACCGCTACCAGGGCAAAGTAGGTAAGCCAATCCCAGGGCCCAGGAGGAGGCTCCCCGGCTGCCATTCCACTACTCCCAGGGCAGAGGAGGTGAGTCAATCCCAGTGCACAGGAGGAGGCTCCCTGGCCGCCATTCCACCGCTCCTAGGACAGAGGAGGTGAGCCAACCCCAGCGCCCAGGAGGAGGCTCCCCAGCTGGCATTCCACCACTCCCAGGGCAGAGGAGGTGAGCCAATCCCAGCGCCCAGGAAGAGGCTGCCCAGCTGCCATTCCACTGTTCCCAGGACAGAGGAGGTGAGCCAATCCCAGTGCCCAGGAGGAGGCTGCCTGGCTGGCATTCCACCACTCTCAGGGCAGAGGAGGTGAGCTGCGCAGGCGCCAGCAGCATCCCCCCACCCCATGGAAATGAGAAGACATGTAAACAAGCCTCAAAAACAGACTTCTAGATCACCTACAGCAACCCCAAAGAGAAACGAGATGGAACAATCTGATACTCAACCACCTAGACTCCCTGAACTGGCAACAAAAGAGAATCTGGAAAAAATGAAATCAGAAATAATTTCTCACATAACAGCAGAGATTGTGCCCATAGTGTAAGACAGGATTAATAAATCTAGAGAGGATACAGATAAAAAAATAGAGGAGCTGAGGAACATGATGGAGTCCCAACATAGGAAACAAATGGAATCCATACAACAGACGCAAACAGATTTCCAGGAGATTAAAAACTCCATTGAAAGTCTACACAGCAGAATGAATCAATGTGAGGATAGAATTTCAGATATAGAAGATAAGATTGCAATTAGTAACCAGGAAAAGAAAAATTGCTTTAAAATTGTAAGGGACACCAAGAAATCAATCCAGCAGCTGCTAGATGATACAAAGAAGAATAACATAAGACTGATCAGAGTCAATGAAGAAACAGGAGAGAGTACAGAACACATAAAAAAATCTGTTCACAGAAGTGATGGCAGAAAACTTCCCAAGCAGGGGAAAAGAACCTGACATAAAGATAAGGGAGGCATACAGGATTCCAACTAGCCTTGATCAAAAAAAAAAATCTACACATAGGCATAATAGTTAGGATTCCAGGAACCCAACAGAAGAACAAAATTCTACAAGCAGTGAGAGAAAAGAAACAAATCACATGCAAAGGAAAGTCCATCAGAATTATAGCAGACTTCTCAATACAAACCCTCAAGGCAAGAAGAGCTTGGAGTGATGTATTTCAAGCCCTAAAGGAAAACAGCCT